AGAGAGAGAGAGAGAGTACTTCACGGGTGGTCTCGAAAAATACCATTTCGAAACACCGGGCCCTTTTTTCTTTCTCCTTCGATTCTTCGCTAGAGTTGGCTCTCTCAAGATTGATCTCGAAGATGATTTATCTCGCGCTTTCGACCATCCATTCTCGCCCTGTCGTTTTCTTTCATCCCCGCCCTCTGTTGTTTCCATTCGTTCTCTCTCGCGCGTGAATATTGCGGGAACTTGGAAGGTTTCGTATATAGAGAAATAGGGTTTTTATTTCGCGAGCGAGTTCGAGGTTGGGAAATTCGAAAGGGAGGAACGGCGGCTAGATTAAACATTCGAATTCGGTAGCACTTGAGAGAAGGCAGAACAAACGCGTCACTTGTCTCTCATAAATTTACTTATCCCTTCTTTCTCCTTCGTTTCTGTTTATTCCCCTTGCTGGCCGTTTCTCCTTCTCTCTTTTCCCTCGACTCGCGTCCATCGAGGAAGATTTAAGTGTTTAATAACGCCCGCCCTCGCCCAGAGAAGATACAAGCAACTCGAGCATCGTTCAGCGTTGCGTCTTCGAGGTCTTTTTTTTTCTTCTTTTTTATTTTCTCTCCTCCGTTTCCCCGTCCTTGTCCCACTAGCAGCCCACCGTCCTCGTGAATCGTCGAACTTTCAGCGAGGACGTTTATTAAACGTTCTGGGGGCCAGTACGGTGGAGGCGGAATGAAATCGAACGAAGTGAAACGGAACGAAGCGAAACTGGCGGTGGTTAACGTAAAATATTCTCTTGCTCTTTCAAAGGTTTCTACGCCGCGTGTACTTGAGAGGAAGGAGAAGCAGCCCGTGGTTTTCCGAGGCGGAAGCGACGTTCCCTCGCGCCTCGAGCGCGTGATATCGCGGCGAAGAACGCCGTTGGACTTTGCTTTGGCGAACCTGGATCCACTTTCGGTGTTTGCGCTGTCCCGGAGCGAGAACACGCTGAATCGCCGCGAACTTTCCACGAAGAAGCTGCTGAGAAGATCTTCTGGTTTCCCTTAAACTTACGATTGACGCTTGACGAATACACAACATGTTTTTCACGCGATCTTTGGGTCCTTTTTGACCCACCGTGTTCTCATTTCTTCAACAACTTTTGCTGTAATCAAGGAAATGTAACGTAATTGATGTTAAAATACTCGTGTATGTCCCCTTAATGTTACGCTGAAAGATTATTGTCTACGTTCATATGGTGTGCTGGTAATAAAAATGTTTGCACACGAGGTTTCTGGGTCAAAAATGACCCGAAGACTTTAGGAATATTTTGTAGCGACAGATTCGCAAAAGTTTACGTATGTATTCACACCGAAGGGACAAATTTTCTCCAAGACGGCGAAGTTTCGCGGTGGATTTATTCCACTCTTCGAGCAATCTTCTTCTCCGGCGTTCTAAATTCACGCGAAACAATGACAAACGTGGAGAAGAAAGACACCGAATCCCTCAGATCAATGTGAAATATGTATTCGCCGTCTCTACGAGTGTATTTCGCGTTTGTTCGGGGGTTTCGTTCCATCGACGAGAAAGAAACACAACACAAGTGTCCCAGAGTGTCCTATTTTAATTAAGGCGACCTTTCTCTCTTGTTTGCCCGGGCTGTACGTATCTGTTTGACATCTGCGACAGAACAGTCTAGTCAGCCGATGCAACGAAAGCAAATACAACAGGGCCCGCTCGTATCTTCCTATAAGATAGTGGGGTGTGAGACGTATCTCGCGGGAAAACCGCGTAAGAAAATTCTCATCGTGGTGTAATTCATTTGGCCTGGTAAACAGGACGACGAATGACAAACGACAAACACGTATATACACCGTTCGCGCCCTCTTCTCTCCTCTTTCTTTCTCGCGGGTCAGCGCGAGTCGGTTCACGGCGAACCACATTTTCCACGCTCACGAAAGGCGCGCGCGAGGGCGATGACGTAAACCGTCAAGGGGTCGTTGGGTTTATTTGAACAGCGATCCTCTCGAGGGAAGAAGAGGGAGAGAACAAGGTGTGTATGTTTTTCTAAATAAAAGAGAAAGCCACCCACTCGAAACCACCGTGGTGTACATTCCTCGAGAACCTCCTAACGAACATTTTACACCTCCCACGAACACTTCTCCCTCCTCGACGTTCTCCTTCTTCCGAATTGTACGATTTCGCTGGTCAAGCGAATCGAGTAATTTTTCATATGGAAACGGGTGCGGAAAATCTCTCTCCCTCGAGGTTTAACTGCAAACCTAGGCGTCTGGGCTTGTCACGCAATCAGATTAGCCACGGTTCACGGATACAGCTCTGCCTCGTCATGTGAACAGTTCTATGTACACGTTGGCATTATCGCGCGTTTCATTACCGCGGAACTAGCGGTGACAGCGATATTTGCACGGCTTTGAAACGTACACCTGCGTCATTAATCTTAGCCGGGATCCTCGAGAATCGTCGTCGACTGCTGAAAGTGAACCGAAAGCTCCGATGTCGAGTGCCATAAAACGCGGTCGTGCCCCTTAAGAGAGGAAACGAGGACGGGGCGCGGGTAACGTCGTCGACGACGGTGTAGTCGTACGTGATAAAGTACTGAAAACCGATGCGCGGCGACGCAGGCCCTCCCCGTACGCTCTGAAGATCGTTTAAATTACTAATTCTTTGGTTACCGGCGCGATAACACCCCGTTAATTGCCATCGAAGTACGTGCGAATAGATAGCTGCTGCCACGTTTCCGTCACGTTTCCCTTAGACGGATTCCAACGGTGGCAGCGAATTGTAAATCCCTTATCTCTCCCCGTTGCTCCGCTGTTTGCTTGATAATACGCGACACGAATTTCGTGGCAACGCGCGCAACGTGCTTTTCCACGGCTCGCTCGCTCGCTCGCTCGCTCGCTTGCCAAGGTTTCCGCGTGAAAACGCGGAAAAGAGTCGTTGAATTGTAAAATTAACGACTCCGTCGGTGCTACTCAGACGGTAATAATATAATTTCGCCGTAATTAGACGGGTAGATTGTGCGGAGAAGTTGGAGGAGGAGGAGGAGAACGGGTGTTAAAGGTTGGGACAGTTCTGACGTAACAATTGGATAATTGGAAATGTTGGAAGGATAACACGATTTCGCGGAGAGTTTGACCTTTTAGAGGTCTTATCTGGAAGTTTCTTAAATTTCAATCTCGCGAAATTTTCTGTAAGTGAATTGATAGCGTTTATTATCATCGCGGTTGTTACGTCTCTGTTACGCGTTCTCAAGACAAATAACGAAGATTGGGGACGGTGCGGTGGTACAAGGGCGAGATATCGCCGTTAGAAAATATTAAGTGTATTGTTTACAAACTTCAATGTTTATCTGTAAAACGATCATATATAATTTTAAGGTTCGAAGTAATCTGCATTACTTTGGATCACCTTTTCCTGACGAATTCCCTATCTAAAAAAAAAAATGCTGCTTTTGAGTGGTTAAACGAGTCGAAGATTTGGAAAAAAAGGCACCGAATTAATTTTCAAGCAAGCTATTACGAATATCTCGTTTTTCGATCAATTCACGTGTAGAATTAATACATCGTTATATTTAGATCGTAATAATTCGAAAGAAAGATCAACCAGTTTTGTTGACGAGAAGCTAATTAATAATGCAGCCGTTATAATGGCAGAGGATGCTATAGGCTCGCGATATTCCTTAATGCAAGAAACATCGGGTGTCCCGAAAAAAGTCGGAAACATTCTCCGCTGAATATTCAGCGGCAAAAACGACGAGCTACGCGCAAGGACGTCGCATTCTCGTAGAAGCGTATAAAAATGCAAGGATGCGCGTAAAAGAGAGGAAAAAGAAGGGAAGAAAAAAGGTTCGGAGAGGAAGGAATCGGTTGATCTCGCGGTTCTCCGCGAGATCGTGGCTTTCCCACTCGCTACCTCGCGCTCGTACCTGCGTGCCGAGTAGCGCACCGGTGGCGACCGAAGACAGCCGAGCGTAGCCGAAGGCCGAGCCGAGCGCGTACGAGCTGCTCCCCGCCACAGTCTGAAATCGGCTAGCGTGACGATACGACGTGCGGCAACAGTCGTTTAATAGTAATAGACCCGATGCTTTGTAACGTTTAGTTTCTCGATATTGGTAGGTCGATTTAAATCGGGCGACTCCGTGGCTAAACGAGTGTTGGTGTCAGTGTCGAGAGAGAGATTTTGTGGAAAAGAGAAACGATTCAGAGACCTCCGGCGTCCAGTACCAAGAAGAGGAATCCCTGTGTCACGATGGCAGCCCACGAGCATCATCGGGCTGCTGCTGCTAGGGCTGCTACTATTGCCGTGTTCGCATTGTTGCCGTTTATAGGTGAGTGTTCTTTTTCCATCGAAATATGAAGAAAAATCTAACGCGAAACGCGAGCTTGTTAATGGACACGTGCACGTTCTCACGAAAGTTTTTGCGCTTTCGCCGAAAGACCAAAGTCACCGCGGTATTCCGGCTGGCACGCGATAGCTCAGCAGGTGGTTTACCAACAACGCGCAGTGCCGTGGAATTCGTGGAAATGTCTGACACGATACCGAACGATAGAATTCCGTAGAATTCGTCGAAATATTGTACGGAAGGTCGAGGACTCGGTATGTATTTCCTCACCGGTATGCCGGTGAAGCGCGGCAATTTCGTACGAATTCAAACTTGTCTCTGACGTTGCGGTACCGTAACCGATTTCGTATGGACGTGTAACCGTCGTTGGTGCAGCAGCACTGTTCGTGGGTAGATTTCTTTTTACCGATTGCGTGACTACGTTGTACGCTGTGGTGAACAACATTTTCGACTGCACCTGGAACGTTTGCAAGTGGCTACAGATGCACGTATGTCATTCTGGGAGGGAGTTGATTAACTTGACGTCGGTAATGGTGTCAAAATGCGCGACACGATGCCGTAAATGAAAGAGATACTATCAGTGCGTAATCTATCGACCGATGAGTCAGTGTTCGACGCGTACTGGAATGTACAGCGAGACAAAAAAAGTTTATCATCTTTTACACAACACACGTACTTTATGGAACTATATTTCCTCGCCTACTTTTGCGGTCGTATCTTTTCTATCGTTCATCAGCAGTAGATATTTCGTTTCTAGTACTGCTCATGGGTACATTCTCTAAACTTATTCAGCCGTTCGATTTGAAATCGTGCTAGGGAACGCAAATACCAATTAGCGAGGTTCTCGAGCCAACACAGCCCAGACCTCTAATACTCTCCAGGTATAATCTCGATAGCCGTGTGTAGGTAATAAGAAGGAAAGAAACGTCTTGTGAACGCGGGCCTAAGCAAAGAGGCCGACACTTGAGCAAACGATCGTCTTGCACCTGTACGGGGCGCCTAGTATATAGAGAGGAGGTGCACCTTGCGCAGAGTCGGCTTTCCGCTAACAATAACCTGACCTCCAAGGGACCGTCGGGGCCCTCTGGTCGTGTCCAAGGGAATCAGGGAAACGTTACCTGAAAGTCAGGCTCTGTTGCCTCGCCTTTGTGTTGTTCGAGCACTTTCCGTGAAATTGCAGCGACGACCTCGACGATGCAGTTCTCGAATGTATACCTGTCCGAATGGTCTGGTGGTGCAAATTGCCGTCGGAGAAGGAACACACGCAGTAGGCATTTCGCTTCTTCCTTTCGTTTTCGATCGTTCATTTATGATCGAGCTCTCTCGGTTGGCGAGAGAGACTCGTCGCCGTTGAGCGTAGGTTCTCTCCGTGGTCCGTTCGTCTTCGTCTCGTCGCCTTCACTCTCTGTCTCTGCATTCGCTGGCTCTTCGCTCTCTCTCTCGCGCCGCTCAGTCCGGTTTCGTCGAGTCACCTCGGAATCGCGTTGTTTTTTTATCTTCCTCTTCTTTTTGTCCCGTTGTCCCTTCGCTTCTACAAGCGTGCCTCTGCCCGCTCACCGGTTGTAATTTATAAATGGCCAGCGCGGTGCGTGCTCGACAGAGATGGGAAAACGGTACCGTTTCAGTAGACCGTTTCACTTTCGAAGCAGTCCAGAGCACAGTAGTCTCTCTCTCTTTTTCTTGGCTTCTCTCTCTCTCTCTCTCCTCGGATTGTGTATCGTTGTTGGTAGGTTCCAAGAAAGGCGTTAGCCCGCGAGTTGTTTCCTCTGAAATTTATTTGTCATTGTTCGGGCCCGGCTATGACTTACGTTGCGGGAATACGCATCTACATTCTTTTCAGGCCCCTCTGGCGTGTCGTAGACACAAAGCGAATCGGTTCCAGGGAGAAAGTGTCGCAACAACAATGCTACGCGTCTGAGCGTGAATAGAGAAAAAGAGAGAGGGAGAGAGAAGGAGGAAGAGGAAAACGATGCGTGTGTAGGGCATTTCAAGCCGGAACAGCGGCGCAAAATTCGACGAATTGCTTCGAAACAATCCTTGAAAATAAAGCGTCCTCTACGTTATATATCCGTGCATTCGTAGTCACGGTACGAAATTTAACGGCGAGCGTAATAAAGTCGCCAGTTTTACTGCTGCTTTTTGTTATAATAAACATTATTCGGCTGGTCCTTGAACATAAAAAGACACGAGTGACTCGTAAATACGAAGTATCTGCGTCGTTGGTATGAGTCTCGTTAAAAAATGTATAACAGTTCCCCGATGCGTATTATGTAGAAGAATATGACGATTCGAAAGGATATTGATATTTCACGTTACGAGTTACAATTGCCGCGCTACACGAGCAGAGCAGAAAGGAAGAGAAAATTTACGCGACACTTTTACTCGGGACGACCTTTCAAACAGCCTGTCAAACCTCCATAATATACTCGTTGAGAAGAGTGGTGGGGGAAGAGGCGCTGTGTGTATCGCGTGCATAGCCGTTCGACTCCCCGCGATTACCTTAAGAGTTCGTCGTCGAGAGAGAGGAAAAAGAAAAGAAGGATACGCAGTGGAGAGCAATCGAGACGGGAACAAAAACGTTAGATACCTCGAAGATAAACAGGGCTCGAGACTGACCTTTCCTCGTTTCAGCATTGTAAACGTGCGCGAGATGGTACACGAGGCGTTTTCTCGCGTGTGCACATATCTCCCTCTAGACGTCTCTTTTTTCCTCTATGGTTCGTCACACACTGCACGGAACGCTCGCTCGTTCGCTCGGGTCATCGATTCTTTTTTTTTTTTTCTGTTTTTCTCTCCTTTTTGTCGCATTGTAACGCGGTGACCCATTGCTGTGGACCGTGGTGGATTCCGGGGGCCATTAAAGTTCCTTTCTCCCGCTGGCTTTTTCGCCATTATCACCGCGCATAAATATAACGAAGCAACCGTTAAACCTTTTAGACGATTCCAGCTCCCTCTCCCTCTCTGCCTCGCTCTCGGATACATTGTAAACGTGCCTTATGGCCGGGCTCTCTCGAAGCTCCCCGAGTGTCAAGCACACACGAGCGGAGATTAGCGAACGGAACGGAAACGTCGAGGACTGCACACGAGAATTTTTTTCTTGGACTTTGCACGGTACAAGACCGGAAACGTTGGAAGGAAAAGCTAGCTAGCTACGGCAAGAGCAATAAAATTGGAACAGTGAGAGAATGTGGTCGTGACGGTAGGTGGTAGGGAGTAAGGGAGAAGAATTTAGCAGTGTGGCTACTCGCGAGAGAGAAACCCTTGATTATGGTTATTACGTGCTCCTCTCTCTTTCCCCATCTCTTCTGTACGATAAAATATTCCAGGGAAACCGAGGAACTGCAGTGGCGCCACTTAATGAGTCGTGGCGGTTTTTTCAACTAATATGGTGGACGTCGTCGTAAAAACAGCCACTTTTTCGCGGGAACGACGGATACGGAAGCAGTGGGGAGGTGGAAAGGAGAGGAGCGAGCAGGTTTCGGGGGGGAAATAAACGAGATGAAAAATGCTCTCCTCTCTGGTGTGCTCGCTTTGCGTTTCCGTGGCTGATAATTAGCGATTTTTCGGCGGGAAATGAAAAACAAACAAAGCCACTGGCTCGCGCGGCTCGTTTCTACAACGCTCTCTGGTGAAATAACCGGGAAATTGAGAGAGGAAAGACCCCCGCCGGCTGGAATAGAAACGATCGTTTGCTTCTCGTTTCATCGCCTCGAACAACGTTGGAATTTCGCTTGGAATTTAGAAATCATCCCGTACAACGTATGTGTTAAGGTAGGTATATTTCTGACGTCGATTCAACAATTTCACGGTAAACCAATCGTGTACGGAAGCTTCTCTTCTTCGTAAACGCACTTTTGCCCACCAGCGATATATTTTAACACCGTGAAAATTGTGGCGCTCGTTATCTCGTATACATCTCTTGTTTGATCAACAATGCATCTGCGTTCTTCGCTCCCTCCGCGTTTTCGCCGAACAGTTTCGTTGTAATGACCTAGATGGCGGGCCGCGAAGTCCTATTTCTCGTATTTTCGTCTGTGCGTGACTTGTAACCACATTCCATTCGTTCGTTTTGTTCGTAACGCGTGCCTCTTCGGCGTTTCGGAATATTTACGCTGACGCAACGTCGAAAGGAAACAGGGAACGTGTGATATTTTTCCTTTGCGCGGTTTACGTGAGAAAGGTTGTATAGAATTTTCATTCCTAGCCTTAGTGCTGAGTGACGCAACGCTTAATGGGATAGCAAAGCCTCGGGCCTAAGGTGTTTTACGAGATTGTACAGGTGACAGTTACGTTCGCTCAGGAAACCCTTTCGTTTAAAAATACACGAGTGTTTCTTAATTACCGATAATCTCGTAAATTAGATTGTATTTTCTAAATTAAATTCGTCCCGGATTATGCACATTTTACTAATATTTCATTTGAATTAATAAATCTCCATTAATAGCGGATCGCACTTGGATAAATCCTGCCCAATTATATTTCAACGTCACAAATTAATAAATCACCTCGGCACTGTCTCTATAATACACAGAGTAAGACGAAGCAAAACAGAAGTAGAACAGAAAAGCAACGAGGGTTAGTCTCGAATAAAGATACGAACGATAATTTCCGTGTCATTAAGCGGACATCGCTGTGAACGAGCCCGGTCGATTGACAGGAACACGTTTTTAATTACGATTTCTGATATCTATAATCGATATTTCGCCTGGGCGGACCGTCGAGGAATGTTCAATTCGCGCGTACCAAACATTAATCAAGCCCGGTGGAACGTCGAACAAACGAGTAGGGAGAAACAGAGAGATAGAGAGGAGAATACTAGAGATTCGTTTGGGAATCGTCGAATAGAAATAATTTTCACCTGCTGTTGTTCTCGCGGACAACGAATGATCGATCAAACCGTGGGGGAAACTATGACTCTCTGCACGCGGCTATCTTATCGAGACGCACTGTGAGAGAGAGAGGAAGAGGTGTTCACATCGCGACGA